TTCTCCAAGGTAAGGACAGCCATTGATCAGCATCTCCTGAGGGAACATCCACACCAATTTTGTCACAGATCTTGGTATGAAAGCATAAGTGATCACAATCACATGGTGGCTTTCTCACAATGATGTGGCTCCCACAATAACGTCCTACACATTCTGTTCACAAATCAGAACTTATCCAGTAGCCTCCTCTTCTTCATGGGCTCTAAAATTCTATGTCCTAGGAAGTCTCATTTATCCAACCAGTACAATTTTAACATGCCCATTTCCCTTCTGTATCTTAGCCAGGTGGCCTATCACTACTGCCATATTTTTACTACTTAATGGTAGAATTTTTGTCAAAGTATTATTCCCCATTACATTGTTTAAACTGTTTATTCTTAATTTTACACACATTGTCCTATAGCCCTTCTCTTCAGTTTACTTATCAGTAAAATGGGAATAATAATAGCACCTACCTCAGAGAGTTGTTGGGGGGATCAAATACAGTAACAAAATGCTATGCAAATCTTATAGCACTATATAAATGCTAGCTAAGCTAAATCACAGCCTATATAGGCTACACACCAATGATGATGACAATAATGATAACAGCCTTTACATAGTGTCTACTACTAGAGTTCCTACTAGGTGAGCTCTTTGAGGACAGAAACTGTCTTTTGCCCCCTTTTGTATTCTCAGTGCTTAGCCCAGTGCATGGCATAAAGTAAGTGCTTAACAGATATTTACTGTCTATTGACTACTACCAGGCACTAATTGTTTAACAAACATTCACCAATTTGATCCTCATAACCCCCAAGGGAAACAGATGCTATTATTATCCCCATTTTACAGTGGAGGAAATAGAGGTAGAGGTTAAGTGACTTGCCCAAAGTCACACAGCTAGTAGGTATCTCAGGTCACATTTGAACTTATGTCTTCTTGACTCAAGAACCAGCACTCTATCTACTGTACCATTTTGCTGCCAAGCTGCTGAGATGCTATTTCAAGATCTTTCCCTACTGCCAAGCATTCCAACTCTCCACTTCATTTTTTAGATTTCTCTTATTGATGTAATAGTTATCATATTCTGATTGGGTATTAAGTAATGGAGTTCCTTGTTTACTAAACCAGGAGTAAAAAGACCTGGGTCCCAGTCCCAGCTTTGGTCCTTATTATTTGAGTCATCCTGGGCAAATTACTACATCTCAGGGCTGATCTTCTGTCAAATGGAGATAACAGTACCTGACCAAGCTCCTCCCTGTTGTGTGGATCATAGGAGTTAATGAATCTGAAAGTACTTTGTAAACTGTAAAGTGCCACATACAATGTTATTTTTACTTTGGGCTAACTCCCAACCCAGTCAGTCACCACATATGGATGAATCAGCTACTCAGTCATCTTCACTCATATGGGAGTCAAAACAATGCAATTCAAATCCTGACTCTGCTACTGACTCACTGTGTGACCTTAGGCACTTCATTTAACCTCAATGTTTCAGGGTTTTTTTTTTCCTCTCTTGGTTTCGGTCCCATTCATTCTGGGACATAACCACAAGCTTAAGCTCTAGAAGAAAGCAGGCAGTAAGCCAGTGAAGTATGAATATGAAAATGTGACTGTCTAGTGCTGCACTCATCAGGTGTACCAGTGTTCAATCATAGTGAAATACTGGACAGGTTGGGAAATAGAAAATAAGTCCATCCCTTTTTGTGTTTTGTAAAAAGGCTTCCAGGGATCTCCCTCCTATCCAGGGAGAGTATCAAAAAATGAAAAAAGTTATCAGAAGACAATATGATCAGAAAAATGGGCATTCCCTGTCAAACAGTTAGAAAATTGCCCCACTGTTACACAGAAAGGACCATCCCATGAATAAGACTGTTTGGGAAAATGTACCCCGGTCTCATTTATATCTAGGAGATATATACAGCCAAGAGGCCAGGAAAGAAAATAGCAATAACACCTCAAATAGGCTACTTTCATTTTAACTAGTCAACAAACCCAGGATCACTTCAGTGCTAGGAAACAGCCTTCAAGTGAAGGCTGAATGACCACTTTTTGGGAATGCCATGAAGACAATTACTGCTTGCAATGGGAGGACTGGACTAGATGCCTTGAGGCTCCTTTCAACTCTCCAGATGGCAAAGAGATTAAAATTCTTCTCTAGAGCACAGAAAAGTCATGGGAAGGAGTAAGAGGCATGTGGTTCCAGAGATACACAAAGCCCCCAAGCTACAACATTCCTTCTTCCTTTTCCCACCCATTCCTTGTACCTTCCTCTCCAGCCTCAAACTCTAGGCTCCATATGCCAGGTAAAAAGCCAAGAATGTTGAAGACCCAAATTGCCTTCCCAACATGTTAGCACCTCTCTCCTCTTCTAGTAAAATATTTTCTGGTCCCTCCTTACTCTTCCTTATCAGCCCCATGGATCTGCATTAAAATGCCTGCTTTCTGAGGTGGGTTCTTTCTTTGACAGAACCAAGAGAGAATCCCTGGTTCTTTTTAACACAAAATTACTTAAATCGAGGATCCCAATGGTAGAGCCTCTGATCCTGTTTTACTTTATTTTTTTACCAGTCTGTCCTTCTTAGTTTTCCCAGACCCTAAAAATAAACCACGATCAAGTAAGCAGCAGGAAGCTTTGGAATAGCTAAAATTAAGCAAAATAAAGCACTCTGTGAAGGATGGAATTAAGGAGTTTTTCAAAATAGCAAATATGTCCATTTTTTTATGCCTGGAGATAGCAGAGAGATAAGCTGACCTTGAATGTTCCAGGAGTCTTTGAATTTACCATCTTCTTGTATTCTAGAGCTAGTGCTTTCATTGCATTTTCCAACTTGGATTTTAGGGATTTTTGTTTTAAAACGTTTTATCATGTGAAGAGGATATAGAGTGTATGTCACTAACATTCTGAATTTCATCTCTATAATATGAAGGAAGTTATCACTTCTACCCTCTCTGCTTCGTAGTACAGAGCTTTCAGCCCCTTGGTGAGGCACAGCCACATGGCCCCAGGACAGCAGTGGCACTTTTCACTATCACTGGTCCTCTGTACCTCACATTTCCTACCATACAATATGAAGGAAATCAATCCTGTCCTTTCTCAAAGCCAGGACTGAAAACTAACTGATACAAAGGGATGTGAGATTCTAGGCTGGCCAGGGACACATGGTCCAGAAGAGGATTCTTTTGATGCAATAACAAATCCTGTAAGAGAACTGCTGCCATCATTCTGAATTCCATGGCACCCTTCTAATTTTGTGCTGTGGCATAAAGATTTGTGTTCTCCCCAAACTTTCCCCTGTGCCCTGGGATTAAGATGACAAGTCAGAGGATGGTGAATGATGGAGGTAGTGGGGAGGATTGACACAGTCCAGCTAAGGTAAGAACTGGACAGGTTTAGCCAGATTCAATTGTCCTTGGTCACAGGGTGGCACATGACCTTATCCCAATTGGTTTATGAGAAAACAGGTCACCAATTTCCATAACGGCTATGTCTACAGTTATGGGTACGTCAAGAGAAAGAACTCTGTTCCCAACAACCGAAGCCACGACTCAGGAAAAGCCTGGCTCACCGCGATATACCCAGGCAGCCCTCGGGACACATTCTTAAGTGTTATGACATGGTTGCTGAGACAACATTGCTTGAAATTGTGTTCCTGGAAGTGATTGTCGCATATTTCATATGTGCTTAATCCTTCTGAGTCCCCAATTTGGGCAGCTGAACAGAAACGATGAACAGATAAGAACAACATTTTGAAGTGCAATAGGAAGAATGCTGGGCTGGGTAATAAGAAAAGCTAGACTCCAATCCAGACACTGTTCTTACCTATCTATCACAACTACTCTAGACTTGAGGTTTGTTTTTTTCATCAATAAAACATAGAAAATATCTATCTTTCCTACATAATTGGTTGTTGCAAAATTAAAACAAGATAATTTATATGAAAATGCTTTGAAAAATCTAAGAGCACTTTACAAATATTTTTTGGGAGTGGGGAGGTGGCAAGGAACAGCAACAAAGCTAAAATAATCTGTATAACTTGCTAGGTCCAGCCACAGCCCTGATCTTAATCACTGTACCTTAACTCCTGGCCTCATATACCCTCCCCACCTCTAATTCTCCTTCCTATTCTTTCAAACCCAAGTAGTTTTGCAAACTAAAGGGAACAGAGCCCCAGAAGAAAATAAGTATTTACCAACAGTATTTCTTTAATCCTGGTTTAAATGTCACACCTTAACACTTATTATATAACTGCAACATGAATCACAAAAGAAGGCAGTTTTGAAAATGAATCGAAGACCATGATGTCCAGGGGGCCCAGATACAAGGCAAAGAACGGGATCATAGAACCAATAGAACCACACTAGGCCTTTCAGCTTTGTGGCATGCTGGCTCTCCACCAAAAGAAGAAAAAATGAGACCAGAGGAAAAGTCTAGCATAGGCCTACACCACCCTTGAGAAGAGAGTGTTCTTAAAAACTATGAATGGCTTAGAAAACCACCCTTAACATACACATTCAAACAGAGGAAAAAAGTTGCTTCCTAAGATGCAGAAAGGGAATATCTGAACTCATCCACTATGACTTCAGTGAGCTGCTTGACATGACCCATGGACTCCTAGCCTGGTAATGTCTTTGGCCAGAAAATATTTCCACCAAGCTCTGAGATTCAACCCCTGCCCAAACACACCCATCTCAACCCCCAAAGTGTACAAAGTGCCACCATAGTCACTAAAATTAGTTCTTCAAAGTCATACTCTGATGTTGAGAGCTACAGTAGCCACAGGGACAGAAAAGTTCCCAATTTAAAAAGGAGTCCATATTAAGCAGCTTTTACTATTCATTGCACAACTGCATCTTGGAACTGTTAGCAAACAACATCAACATAAAACTGGGAAATTAAAGTGAGCTTTAAGGGTAATTATTTATAAGACCAGGATGAGGGCAAGACAGTAGAAAGGAGAACACTTGTGAAATTCTCATGCCTTTGCTTTCCTCTTATCCTGTATTCTCATGCTTCTCACCTGTGTAGACACCAGTTACAATATCTCCTTCCTCAAGAACAGGGCTGTCTGGGACCCACAATTCTTCCCCACGCTCCATTCGAGAGATTACATCAGGTTTAGGAATTGGATAACCTATCCAAAAGGGATGAAAAGAAAAAGAGAAGAAAGGGGGTGAGCATAGAGTTGTTCATTATCAATGAGTATGATGCTATCTCAATAGCCTCTGCCCCACACTCCAAGGAGGGGACTGCTGTCATCTGCTAGCAAATGTTATTCCCTTAGTTCAGTCCCTCTTAAATGTTTACAGTTTCTTTCACACTCAATTTTCCTTTGAGATCTTCCCTTAATATTTTCCCCCAATTCTCTTAACCATACCTTCCTCACACCCACTGTTTTAGTATGAGTTTTACAGGAGTGCTCTCATCTCGCTACCTCCAATTGACTACTCACACCACTGGATATGTCAGTAAAATCTACAGCAAAGAGATTCCCGAGCAGACTGATAGTTGTATACCACCTAATATACACACTGTGGTTCCTGGATCAAAAGAGGCCTTGAGGTCTCAATGTACCTGCTAGTCTGTGGGTACCCTAAGCTTTTAACTCAAGCCCACTCCAGAGCGCTATATAAGGGGTGCTGCTCTGTTCTGGGAGATGTGAATTGGATCTAACACCTTTCCCATCCCGTCAGAGACCAGAAGTCCTCAAGATTAACAGTCTGTTTCAGAAAGAATGTCACCTTGGAAATCCCAGGGAACTGGGTGAATTCATCCCTCTGCTCTGCTTCTTCGATGCCAGGAAGACTAGCACTTACCCAGGGACACCAGAATCCCATAGTTCTCCTGCATGACTTCCTTGTAAAGATCCTTCTGAGCTTCATTTAGCCTTCCCCACTCCTCCAAAGAGAAATATACAGCTACATCTTCAAATGTCACCAGTCCCTAAGAAAAAAAAAAGAGCAGTAAATATATCCCCATTGCACTCCAATGGGAGCACATGAGGAGAAAGAGTGAAGAAATAAGCCAGCAGTGGCAACTGAGAACTTTACTTAGAGAAAGAGAGAAACATAATCCCTTCTTTAAGTCTGGGTCACACAAAAGTTAATTTTCAGACAGTATGACTTAATAGATATTAATTAAATTGTAGCATAATATACATAAAAAATTTTAGGGGAAATGGTAGGACAAGAGAGGAGGGTAAGATGTACCAAAAGTCCAGGTATAAGTTCTAAATTTTAGTTTGCTGAGTCAGGGAAAAAGCTCTTACTTTGAAAGGTGACATGTGCCTAAAAAAGAAAAAATAAAAGAAAAGAAAGGTGACATGAAGGCTATCTCAAGCAAGAGAAGCAGCCCAAATCTAGGGGGAAAATGTAGCCTCCAAATATAGTAGGGTAACTTCAGAAGCTTCCACTAAAACCTTCCTGTAGGGCTTCATCACGGTGGAGAGGCAACTCTGGGTTCTGAAAGGCTGAGCCAACAGACTACAAGTTCTAGCAAACCCTACCAATTGAGAAAGCCTCCAGATACAGGTATGATGATGGACTGGTACTAGAGGACCAGACTAGCCAATTTGGGAAAGGCTCATCACCAGAAGTTTGGCTGCTAGGCAATGATATTTTTTTTTGGCCAGAGCTACTCACAAAGACTTGTCTATTAAGGAATAGAGGAGTTAGAACCTGTATCAGTAGGAGGAACACCCACACCTTAGCAAGCAGAGGGCCTTGAAGCATTGAAATGATTAGAGGTGAGTTAGTACTGAGGAAACCCAAAATTCCTGGGGTGGGCTTCATCTCTGACTTTTGAAAAAACTGGGCATAAATCACCAGAAGGGAACTTACTGGCTAAATAACTACCGACTAGCAATGCTCTCCAGAAAATAACTTTCTCTTAGCTCTGCTTCCAAGCAGAATAGTACCTAACCCAGATTAGACAAAAGGGATTGCCAAGAAAGTGTATTAAGTAATAATAACTGGTTATTTAAACAGGATGTCCCCAAAGTCCATGTGCAGTTTAAAATGTTAATAAATTAAATTCTATGGGAGATAAAAAAATAATCTTTTAAATACAATGCCAAAGTAATTAATTCAAGATTTAGTACACTTAATCTTAAAATAGTTAAGTTTCAACATGTCCACCATCATTACATATACAAAGCACATTAAAATTTCCTATGTAGCCCAGACTCTGCAGCTATTCTACCAACCCCACTCACACCAGCAGATTAGGTCCCAGAACAGTGGTCTCCCCATTACATCTAGTTTCATGAACAAATTCTGAAATTGTTGTTATAGTGCTGATCATATTAATTAATCTATCATGAAGTTCATTCTAAAACCAAGGTTTTTTCATACTTTAGTTTTAACACATCCTCATAATTGTAAATTTTTTGATATTGTTACAGACTTAAATTCAGCTAACTAAAGAATATAATCTTTTTCCCCCCTTCTATTGAAGCCATCTAGCCTAGTAGGGTAAATTATCTGGGAAAATGCAAAATAATAAAATTCACTTTTTTCATAAAAAATGAATAAATTACTTTTTATTGCATTTTACAGATTGTTTTTTATCTCCTATAGAGGTTAAGGTGTTAATGTTTTAAACTGCCTACAGACTTTAGGAATACTCTGGGGATTACAAAATACCTTATGCCATTAAACATTTTTCTCAATGACTTGAAGACACAGATGGCATTTATATCAAATTGACAGTTGACACAAAGCTAGAAGGGACAGCCAGCATACCGGATGCAAAAGTCAGGATAGGGGAAGTTCATGAAAGGATCTTAGAACACTAGGCAGAAATCTAAGATGCAATTTAATAAGGATAAATGTCAAGTCTTACACTTGAGTTCAAAAATTCAACTTCACAGACCAGAAATTTGTCTAAATACTGTGTGATATGGCAGCCTAGAAAGATAACACAATCTACATAAAGAGGCATCAGGTCCAGAATTAAGGAAGTGATAATCCAACTGTCCCGCCCAAACAACATCTGAAGTATGGTGTTCAGTTCTGGATGCTACATTTTAGAAGGACACTGAAAAGCTGAAGAGTCTCCAAAGGAGGGCAACCAAGACAATAAAAGGCCTCAAGTTCTTGAGGATCAGGTAAATGAGCTGAGGGGTGTTAAGCACGGAGAAAGGAAAACTTAAGGGGGACAGACATCAAGGGCCGTCACCCAGAAAAACATTCAACTCAGAAGGAAGAACTAGGAGCAATGGGTAGTAGTCGCAAAAATGCAAATTTAAGCTTGGTATTAAGGAAAGACTTCCTGGGGATCCTAGCTTTCCCAAAGAGGAATGGGCTCCCTTGGGAAACAGTAGGTTCTCTAATGCTGGAAGTCTTATATGAAATGGACTAGAAGGTCCCCCAGGTCCCTTCCAACTCAGGTCCTGTGATGCCATCTGATCCTCACAAAAATACTGTGAGATAGGTTTTAAATACCAGGTCCATTTGACAGATAAGGAAAACGAGAACAGAGAGATTTAAATGACTACTAAAAGAAAAATCTCAAAACTAGATCCTAGCCCTATAGAAAGACAACAAAAGCTCACCTGGGACTCAGTAGTTAGGAAGTCAGTCGATGTCTCATCATCATCAAGGACCTCTTTCTTAAAAATAGCTGGAACCCAGGAAACTGACACAGCTGAGAAAGAAAGTAGGTTGCGTTCCTAAAAGCTCCTCCAGGTTCATGCATTAAAAGAGGTACCCCCCCTTCATCTTCCACCACCAGCCCCACAGTTCCAAGAAGCTAAAACCAGCAAAGAGCATTACAGTCCCAGATTCAGACTGGGAACTACTATCTATTCAGTTCTTACGGAATTTAGAGTTTATCATTTCTCTGACTGATGTCTCTCAGGAGACATTGCCATCCCCGCCATACCCTTGATCTCTCCAGTTATCTAGCTCCCCCCTCATCATAACCAAATGGAAGGCCCCTCCTTACCCTTCTCCTGAAGAACTGGGGACTCCATTTTAGAGTCATGGCTCAATGGTCCCTGTGGTTCTGGCTCTGGGCTGCCCTCAATCACTTCTGGGCTACCCTCGATGGGCTCTGGACTGCCCTCAATCACTTCTGGGCTGCCCATGATCGGCTCCGGGCTACCCTCAATGGACTCTGGGCTGCCCTCAATCACCTCTGGGCTGCCCATTATAGGCTCTGGGCTGCCCTCAATCACCTCTGGGCTGCCCATGATGGGCTCTGAAATGCTATCGACAGGCTCTGGGCTGCCCATGATGGGCTCTGGGAGGCTGTCGATAGGCTCCGGGCTGCCCATGATGGGCTCTGAAATGCCATCAATGGGCTCTGGGATGTCATCGATAGGCCCTGGGCTACCCATCATGGGCTCTGGGCTGCCCAGGATGGGCTCTGAGATGCCATCAATGAGCTCTGGGAGGTCATCAATGGCCTCTGGGCTTCCATCAATCAGCTCTGAGTTGCGTTCATCCTCCTCTGGGCTGCCTTCATCCTCCTCTGGGCTGCCCTCGTCCTCTTCTGGGCTGCCCTCAATTGGCTCTGGGCTCCCCTCACCCTCATCTGGGCTCTCTTCCATCGGCTCTGGACTCCCCTCAATCTCCTCTGGGCTGTCCTCAACCAGATCTGGGCTCCCCTCCCTTTCCTCATGATCAACTTCACACTCTGGTCTGACTTCCATTCTCTCCAGCTGGGAGGTTGGGGAGTCTGGAGTTGTATGTAGGGCTGCCATCTTCTGTTTCTCCTCCAATGCCTCTGCCTAGAAGAAATAGGTTATCCAATCAGGACATTCTGTATGTAACATAGACTTCTTTGGATGCCTGATGAACCCAGTTTTATGCCTGAATCTAGGTCCCTCCTCTGGGCCACCACCCTTGGGACAATTAGGAACCCCCAACATAACCCCTTCACCCAAAGAAACAAAGCACTTAAATTCCAGTCAGCCTAGCTCTCTGAAAGAAAATGCCATTAAGACAAAAAATCTGAAAAGGATAAAAGAATCTAGCGCCCCTCCATTCCTATGTACAAAGACTTATCAATTACACCCTCAAGGACTAAATTCCTCTCTCCTGATCCTCCTTTTTGGCTGATAGTTCAGCACCTAGCACAGTACCTGGGCACAAAGTAAGCATGCAATAAATGTTTGTTGAGTTTAATTTGTTGAAATGTTCTGTTCTGGTTCAGATTTTTAATCTCATTTCCCTATAGCACCCAGAGGTGTTAAAAAAAAAAAACTTCTGATCTTCTCTTCTTCCTCTAGGCTTTAGGTACAACCTGGCCCCTTGGGTCTGTTGGCCCTATGCAGTACCCACAGTGTGATAACACGTGTGTGGCATATTGCCTTGGTCATCTTCCAGAAGGCAGAGTCTTATCAAGTACATTTTCTGTACAGAGCCTAGGACATTTTGAACTCTCAGTAAAGATTATACAATGTCTACCCACTCCATGCCTAAAGGAGGGCTTTTCTCACCTGGGCCTCAGGCTGGGAGATCCAGCTGAAACTAGACACCAAGCCAAGTCAAACAGAGCTGTCTCCCTGCCTTGGCCTCCACTCTACACTAAGTAGCTACTTCAGAATTCCACCGAATAAGCCGGGGTGGCTGGGAAGAAACAACATCAAAGGAGAATATGGGAGTTTTGAAATGGAAAGGCTCCAAATCTTAATATTCGGATTGGCGAGACAGATGTAAGAAAATATTCCAGCCTAGATTTCACATCCATTACAGAGCCAACCTCAAAGCTATCATCCTAGCTTGGCGGAAGGAATCCTAAAAACTAGAGTTCACCTTAATACAGACCTACCACTTCCAGGGAGGAGGTACGAGGTTACAAAGTTAACTAGAGCACCAAGACATTTATCTCAATGTCAGAAACTAAAGGAGATCAGACAAGGTAGCCTAGAAGAAAGAAAATGTCCAAGAGGCTAGGAAGGGAAACAAGGAAACAAATTAAGTAGGGCAGAGCAATGGGACCCAGGAAATCCTATGAAGATCTAAAGCCCTAGAAACCAAGGAATATAAGCCAAGAAGGGATATAAAGAGAACAAAGACTTGATCAGGAAAGAAATTTCATATTTATATTCATAAAATTCTATTCTTCTCCCCTCTGTAACAAGTACAGACCCTACCTTTTCCCCTTTTTAATGATCTCCCACCTCAGCTCTTGCCCATCCTTTTTCTTCTCTACTCTTTAACTTTTTCCTTTTTCAATCCAAGGAACATTCTACTCTTATCTGTGACCTGGAGCACACCCTTCCTCTCTCCAAATCACTTTGCTGGCTTCCTTGCTCCTTGACTATTAAATGCAATTTGCACATTTCAAGTTTCTCCCTGGTTCTCATCACCTTAGATCAACTTTTCTCATTTCTCACTGTGATACAAATAGGGAGTCAAAGTCAATTAGTATTAATGCTCCAGGTTCTGTTGGAGTGTGTATAAAAGAGTTTGGGGAGCTCAGGGTCAGAATGGGGTATCATAAAAAGTCTGAGAATCACTTCTTTGGAGAATGTCTAATAATCCAGACAGTTTTCCAAGGTTGAATGGAAGTATAGTGTTACATGGGTGAAGGGAATCTACTGATTTAAAACAAACATTCTGATTCTATTCAGGTTTTATATAATTGTTACTGCCAGCTGCCCTTTCCCCTCTGCCATGACAGAATAGCCCTCAGGACCAAAAGAAAAAAAAAAAACTCCATCCCCTAATTAACTTCTTCTCTGGAGTTAAATAATAGGATATCTGGAGGTCACTAGTGACTTCTCCACCCAGTGGAAGCCCAGATCAAGTTCTATTTCTTCCTATAAGTCCTAGAACTACAGGATTTAGAAACGGAATGAACCTTAGAAATTATTCCATCTAATTCCATTATTTTACAGATAAGGAAAGTGAGGACTGAAAGGGCTAAATAACTTGCCTAGGGCCAAACGGGTAATTTTCCCTAACAACCTGGGGCTGCAGTAACCATTCCTCTTCCTGACTTCCCAAAGACTTATTGACTGAAAAAAAAAAATACCTCTGACATTTAATTATATTCTACCTTGTTTCATCTGTTTAAGTTTACCCATCTAGACAGTAAAGTCCTTGAGGGCAGGTACCATATACTTCTCTTGTATCCCATATAGTGATGGGTACGTTATGTGCTCAATAAATAAACTGCATTGAACATCAAACACTCTAAAAATAAAACAGTTCAGGAGTTCTCGCTTCTTTTCTTATCTGCAGGCCTTTCCTGTTCATCTCCTTAAAAGGGTACAAATTTCCCAGTCTCAAAGATCCATCTTTCCATCCAAACCTCACCTTACCACAATATAACCCAGAAAATGGGTAAACCCAGAGGTCTCCAGTTTTTACTAGTCCTCATGCCTTTGACTCTTTCTGCCCTCAGTTTCCATCTGAACCCAAGTTGCTATCATTTTCCCCCTACTTCCTTTTTAAATCTACCCTAAAGACAATGTTGGTACCTTGATTTGCCCCTTTGTCTCTAGCCACAAGCAAATATTTATCCTTCTCTATAAACCTGTATTCTTTAAGCACCCACAGTAGGCTGGCATCCAGACATCACATGCAACAAATACAGCTCCTCATCCTTCAATACTTTTTTCTCTACTGGAATATAAAAACCTAAGAATTGCCCTAGTGGATCCTACCAATAGCACTTATGATTATGCCCTCAATAACTACCCTAAAACATTGGCATGTACCCTAATAACTTATTACAGAGCTGGTGCAGCAGCTCTCACCTCCCCAAACATCAGTATGTTTGTTTTTTCAAATTTTAAGTAAAGAGAGATCTAATCTAACCTCTTCATTTTACAGAAAAGGAAACTAAGGCCCAGAGAGGTTAAATGACTGTCTGTGGTTAATAAGTTGCAATGCTATGATTCAAACTCAGGCACTTCAACCCTAATTCCATGGCATTTTTCACCATGCCAAAGTCTCTTCCCAAGTCACTCCTAAAGCAATCCCATTCCCCATAAGTCCACAAGCCTTCCTCCACAGTCTACCTCCTCCAACAAAACATTTGTGGACTGAGAAAATCCTGAGTATGGATTTTGACGAAAATTTAACTACTGAACCTCAAAAGCACAAAGTCCAGATGATCTACCTCCCCAATTTTGTTCATTTAATAGGCTCTGTAGGGAATATGGCTATCAAATTGTGGTCATATTTACCTCAGTCACTGACTGAAAAAGACCTTAAACCTAGTTTTACTTAGTCCATTCTCTTCTCATCCCATTAATCCTACTCTCTTCTCTCTACCCCACTGGGTTTGATACCCTGTTTAACAGAAAACGGATAGAGAATGGCCCTATGATTTCATTTGTATATGGAACTCCTAGGTGAGAAGACTCCCTCTACCAATTTAGGGTGGCATCTACTCTTGCAACTTAACAGTGGTAGAGGGCTGTCTGGAACACTGAGAGATGCCCAAGGTCACACGGCCAGTATGTGTCAGGGTCCAGACTTACATCTCAGGTCTTCTTGATTTCGAAGCCAGCTCTCTATCCATTTGAACTGTCTGGTACACAAACCAAAATTAAGCAGTTTTCTGGCCCTTAAGCACTTCCTATCTCCTAGCTTTAGGGTAGGGGGTATGTTCTATTCTCTTCTACTGGGGTTTTACGTTCACTACCACCAGTTTGGTTTAACAGTTAGCATAATCGGGCTAATCCTCTTAGAACTATCAATCCTTTGTATTTATATTGGGCTTTTAAGTGTTCAAAGTGTTTTCCAAATACATTTTCTCATTTGATCCTCATAACAACCCTGTGAGGTAGGCAGGACTAGAAACATTATCTCAGATGAGCAGTAACCTTTCACTGATCGAGGAAATTTGAAAGGTCCAGAGAAAGGTTAAAAAGACGCTGGGACTTGGTGGCTCTTAAGAACCCGTGTCTCCCGATTCCCAAGCTAGTAGTGTTCCTCCCACTCCACCAAAGGGAGCCCTGGCAGGCAGCTGGCCTACAGATTCACAAAGGGCCTACAGAGCCTAAGGAAAAAGCTCTCCCGAAATGAGAGGGCCCACTGTGTCCTTGCCCACTCTGGCCACAGCCACGGAGCGCTCAGACCCCTGCCCAAGACCTCAAGGCGTCGGAAGCCCTGGGGAAGAAGGAGCCGATTCCACACGAACCCCACGAGCGCTCCTGGGGCCGCTAACACCTGCACTTTCCTCGCCAGGGCCCCGGTCGGCCTGGCCCCCGCCCCCCCAACTTGCCTCTTGACCCCAGGGGAGGATTGGATGTGGCCCGCTCCCCTTCCCCCGTCCTCGACCTCCCCTCCATCCCGAGCCCCCCCCCAACATACACACTCGCTCTCCCCCCTCGCCTGGCCTCTAGGCCTCTCCCCCAAACCCTCCCCGGCTGGTCCCCAACTAGGAAAGGAAAGGGAAGAAAAGGGAAAGACGCGAAGGCGCCTCCCCGGGGGCCTCCCCGCTCCCGCTCCCCCTCCCCAGGCCGCAGTCCACTCCGCCGGGCGACAACCGAGGTGCGCGGGAGGGGGAGGATTCCCCTCCGAGAGCCCCGCCCCGCCGCGGCCCGACCCAGGCGGCCCCCGCCGGACTCACCCCGGGGCTCGGGGCTGGGCGACCCCGACCCCCTGGGTCCCGGGCCTGGCTGTGCGCCCTCCCTCAGGCCGGACGGACGGACTCTGGGGTTGACGGCGGCCACCCAGTCCGGCTGGGAGACGAGGATTCCTGGGTCCGGGCCCGGAGAGCTGGGCTGGGGCTCCAAGAGGGCTGGTACTGGAAAGCCCCGAACTCCGGGGGCCTGGGGCCGGGCGGGCCGGGGAGGCCTGAGCTGGGGACGGGATGAGGGGAGTGGGAGTGAGGGGAGGCACGGCCCGGGGCCCGGAGCCCAGACTCTACGCTCCTGGGGGGGCCCGGGCTCAGACACAAAGTGACGGCCGCGGGAGCTGCGCGGCGCGTGGGCACCGGAAGTGCCCGCCTTGGATCCCGGCTCCTCCCCTCTCCTCACCCTGGGAAGGGCGGGGGAGCGGGGAGCGGGGAGCGGGGCGGGGGACCGAGCAGGGGCGCCTGCGCCGTTGGCCGCTGGGCCTCTCCAGTGCCCCCCACGCCGCTCCTCCCTTTGGGCTCCCCCGCCCCTCGGATCCCGGGGTTGGGCGGGGGGGGGGTCACTTCCGGTCACGCAGGCGCCCTCGCCCTTTCCCTCTCCCGCGGGGTTTATTGTCCTTGTGTGAAGCCCAGGCCAGCCGAGGCCGGCCGGCTGTCCGCGGCCGCGGGGAGGGAGGGAGGGAGGGAAGGAGGTGTCCCCTTCTCCGGCTACCGGAAATGGACTCCTCGAGGCCACAGAACCGCGGGGGGAGGGGGGGTGAGAGGCCGGCCCCAGGCCGGCTGGGTCCATCTCTGGGGGCCTGGCGGGACCCGGAACCGCGTACGGGCAGCTCTGCGCCCCTATTGTCCCAGGCCCGGGGGAGCGAGGGCACGGAGGAAGAGGAGCGTGGCCCACGGTCCACCTGGGAAGTGGCGGGGAGGCCCAGGTGGGGTGCAGCGAGGCAGACGCCCAGGCGGCGCGTGGGGGGAGGGTGAGAACGCCCAGCCCCCCACCGCCCTTTTCGCGTGCGCCCCTCCGCGTGGGAAGCGAGGCACCCGAGGCCGGGGGATCCGGGATGTGCGACTCCCCAGATCGAAAGTTAGACGCGTGGGTGTGTATGCGCGAGCGCGCGTGGGTGTGCGCGGCTGGGAGGGTACTGACTTTTCCAAAGTTTACCAAAGCGGATTAGCACAATGATCCATTTGCCTAATGATCAATTCACTTGCTGAAAACCGCCTACTCCTTTAAACCCAACTCCTTGTCCAGGTTCTCCCGGCAGATTTACCTCCTGCCCTCCGGCAATAATGATCTATCTTCCCTCACCTCGACTTCCCCTACCTTCCTTTTTCCGCACTTCGTGCCTCCCCAATCCACATCGTGCTTTATAGTGTATTAGTGTATCCGCCTTATCCGAGGAGGTGGTGGATCCCCCTACTAGACGAAAGTAGAGACCTTATCTTATTTAAACTTTATATTTTTCCCCAGAATAACACAGTATTACTGTAGCCCAGGTATTTCGTTCGTTTTATTCAATCAAGAATTCACCTAAAATTTAAATTTCCAATAAGTAAAAAATAAATTTTTCATAGAAAAGGTGGTTTTTACCTCCCCCTTCCCTTGCCTTGAACGATTTTTTTCTCATTATTTTAGGTTCGTGGTATACCTTTTGCCTGCCTTTGGGTACTTTAAGAATTTTCCAAACCAGTTCATGTCAGGGCATTTCCATGTAGATTCTATATTCCTGAGTAGGCGTTCAGCTTGCCACCTAGGCCATGGTCCTGCATTATTTACAGAAAGTATGAGACTGATATGATAACTTACTTAGATCAGTCAAAACAACATGGAAGGGTGACATTATAGATTCTCTCTGCTGTATATGGTAGGCATCCAAGTGTCTGTCCCTGAACAACAACAAAACCTAAATGAGGTGGAATTAGAGTGCAACATCAGTGGGTACCAACCATCCAAACCTCAAAATAAATATTGAAATTGTACACAAAATCTGAACAAGATAATGTAGGGCTCCTGCCCTAATGTAAATACTTGTGATTAATTTCATGATATTGCCTATAACATTGCCAGTGGTAAAATCCTTCAATTTATATCCACAATCCCATTGCCTTCGGCCTTTCTCCAAGGCCCTGTTTCAATAATTATCCTTTCTCTTTCATGTTTACCATGTCTACCAGTATTTTCAGGTATTCCCAGTCTTTAAAAAAAAATGAAAAATCCTCCTTACCTTAACCTTTTAGTGTCAGCTTAGCATTCTTCAACAACTACTATTCATTCCATCTCTCCCTTTAATACCAAACTTGAAAAAGAAAAATTTTCTATACCCACCCTTCTACCCACTCTCCACAACCTTTTGCAGTATGACTTTCATCTTCAACACTCCATTGAAATTTCTTTCTCAGTGGCCTTGTTGGCCAAATGGATATTTCAGCTATTTGAGTTGCATAAATATCCTCTGTAAAAAGGTTCTTCTCAGTCTCCTCAGCTTCTACAGAATTCGACCACTCCTTGTTGACCACTCCTTTCCTTCTGGAAACTCTTTCCTCCCTTGACTTCTGATTCTCCTCACTCCCACCACTCCTCTGTCTCCAATAGCTCCTCCTGACTCCTTAAACTAGGTGTTTTTCAAAATTCTGTCCCTGCCAGTCTTCCTTCTACATTCAACCTTGACAATTTTATTCATTCTTGTGATTTCAAGGAAGAAGAATCACAAATCTCTATATCCAGCCTTGTGTTTTTTCCCCCAGAGTTCCAGATCCATATCTACAACTGCCTATAAAATTTCACCTTGGATGTACCACCAATACCTCAAACCCAATATATTAAAAATTGCACTTATCTTTATTTTACATAAAATTATTTTTATGTCACTTTGGTTTTCCATCTCTCCCCCTGTGCTACCCAGGGATCCATCCCTAAAACAAAGAATTAAAGAGAAAGGAAAAAAAGAGAAGAAAAGGGAGGTGGGGGAGGAAGCAATTATGAAAAACTAAACAGCACATCGATCAAGTTCCAACATTAATATATGTTCCATTTCTGCAAAGAAGTGAGTTAGGTGCATTTCTTCAGGGTCAAGCTTGTTCATCATAATTACCCAATTAAATTATCTTTAAAAAGAAAACCTTTTTCTATTGGACTTCACTATCTGTGTCATTGACCCAGTCTCTCATATTCAAAACTTTAATATTTGTCTTTTCTTCTGTTTCACCTCCCACAATTCAAGTCCTGTCACTTCTACCTCTGAATTGTCTCACATCTGTCCCCACTCCTCTTTATCACTACTACTGGGGATACAAAAGCTCATTATCAACTACTTAAAACTACTGCTACCCTAATAGATCACAGTAGACTCCTAAGGTTGGAAGGGGCCTCAAAGATAACGTAGTCCAGCCCCTTCATTAAAGCATGAATGCCTTCTGTAAATGATATCTGACAGATGATCAGCCAGCCTGCATTTGAAAATTTCAGTGCTGGGGAACTCATTACCAAAATAGCCCATTACATAGAATCATGGCATTTAGAGCTGGAAGACACTTTAGAGATCACGTCATCCAATACTTTCAACTTATAGATAAGTAAACTTAGGTCCAAAGAGGTTAATTTTCCCAAGGTCCCACAAATAATAAATTAACCAGCAGTTTTAAACCTAGGCCTTATTCCTACTCTTCTATACCAGAGGACTGTTCAGGACCCAACTTCCACAAACTAGGGTCATTGGAAAATTGTTTTAACTGGAGGGGAGGAAACAAATATAAAAAGAAACTTGTGGAACCTCTTCCATAGAAGGCGGTTTTAAGGACTTCTTTTCTTTTGGAAGAGGTGCATTATTTTTGGTCTCTGAGAGGAAAAAAAAAAATGCCATTAGATGCCTACCTTCTTGAGGGATTACCCGTGGAGGAACACTAGCCATTTCCAGGTTGAATCCTTCCTATGTTTCATAGTTGGGACCAATCACCTGGTGCCAGAAAGAAAATTACAGCATTCTTATACCTCAGGCCCAGGAATACAGGATCTTGCTAGGGATCATGAAGTTGTCATGTTTAGAAAGAAAGTGTTCTATTGGTCATTTTTTGGACAGCTCCAATTGAGTTCTTCCTCATATTGAGCCAGAATCTGCCTACCTTCTACCTTCTACTCACTGACTCCTGCCTCCATTCTCCTCGATTCAGATCCATCCTTCAGACACACAAATTAATTTTGCAAAGAACTAGTCATTTTACTCACCTGCTCAAAATCCTTCAATGGCAGACCATGGCCTACTGAAGAAAGTTCAGATTCCTTTGCCTGGCATTCAGAGCACTCCACAATCTGGTGCCACCCTACTTTTCCAGCCTTATCGCATGCTATGCCTTTTCATGTATCCTACACACTAGTCAAATGAGACTAAAGACATTCCTGCCTGTATGCTTTTGTTCGTGCTGTTCTCTATGCCTGGAATGTTCTCCCACTCCCCACACGTCCTGTTGAAATCCTACCCATCCTTTAAATGTCAGCTTAAATGCCACCTCAAGGCATTAAACATTCCACTTGGTAATGACCCCCTCCCTGCACCCCCACACCTCACATCGAACTTTGCTCCCCTCTAATCACTTATATATTATTTTGTAATCTATTTGAATTTTTCATTTTTCTCCACTACGATAGAAATGGAGGCAAAACAGCACTTAAAACATTTTGATAAAGGCTCCCTGATCATTCCCACTTAACCCTGATCAGCCCTACCACAGAATCAAAGTAATAGCATAAACTATGTTGGACAGAACAACAGACTTCATTAGATTCAAACCACACCTGAAACATGAACCCTCTCCACAATACACCAAACCGGTTGTTATCCAGCATTCCTCAGATGATGACCTCCAGTGACCAGGAACTTAGACTTCATGTCCCTACTGCTCTGATTGTTAGCAAACTCTTGTATTGATCCAAAATCTTCCTCTCTCTAACAGGAAACAGGGCCAAGCAGAACAAGTCTTATTATAATAAGTCTTTCCCATAACAACATTCAAATATTTATGGTTTGGTGGCTAGATAAATAGATAAGGTTATATTGGCTAGATAGTTGGAATAGA